CTTTGGCCTCTCTGTGAAGCCATCCCAGCTTCCCAATTCCTCGTGGGGTTGGCTGAGAATCAAGCATGAAGCCCAATGCCTCCCTCCACCATGAGCGGTGTCCTTCCTTCCCTCCCCTTCTCACCCCTCCCTTTCCACAGTGGCAGCCAGAACATCAATCCCCAATAAATAAATAAATAAATCCTCCTCTCTGATCTCCCGGAGATTGCGTCCCAACTGTGACACCAAGAAAAATGGCTCTGGCTTCTAAAATGGATTTTGAAACATGGAGGTTTTTAACGTATAAAAAAAAATGCCAACTAATATACAGTGACAGCAAGATTAGTGCAGGCTCATTTCTAGTGACAGAAAGCCCCTCAGTGGTGGTTTGGGAACGGAGGGTAGGGATTGCCAAGGGTCTCAAGGTGATTTGCAGCTCTGTTTGCTACTTGATCATGGTGATGGTTATACAAGTGCATATGCATATGTCAAAACTTACTAAAGGGACACTTCAAATATGTGCAGTTCATTGTATGTCAGTTGTAATTCAACAAAGCTCTCCCGTAAAAAAGAGAAGAAAAAGACATTCTCAAGGCCGTAAAGAAAGCCTAAGAAATTAGAAAAAATGTGTATAATCCCTAACAGAATTATTTTCATTTCCTTTAGTTTTCACCCATATGCATACGTGTTTTATAAGGGTCCACTGACAGCACATATTAGCTGTTCTCAGCTGTGACGTTGTTACACTGCTATGAACTGATGAACTGTGAACTGTGAGATGTTCCAACTAAATTTGTTATCAGTTATATTTCAAGATTAGAACCATAATAATGTCAACCTCACTCTCTTGCATTTTGGCATGATTTATTCAGGGAGAAAGCTAGCACACAGAATTTCACACACCCCTTGGTAAATCCTTAGGAAAATGTCAGACCTTGGGAACCGAGATGTAAATACTCCGTTGCCTCTTGGCAAATATTGTGCCTTAAAACTGTGTCACACATGCTGCTACGTGGCCTTCATAACTGACATTTTCCTTAAAGCAAAGTAAAATATACAAATGGCAGTAAATCAGATACATAAGTCTCCTTGTAATCCCCTCCCTGTCCTGCCAATACAAGTTCCCAAAGGCATCTTCCCTCCTTCCTTCCTTTTTCTTCCCTCCTGCCTGCCTTTATCCTTTCTTCCTGCCTGTCTTTCTGGGTAGATAAGACACTCACATGGGTCGCAAATCAAAGGGTTAAATGTTACATCTAACAAAAACTTTGTCTTGCCCTGCCCCAGTCCCCCAACTTCCCTCCTCAAAAGTAACCAGTTTCACAAGTATTTTTGTCTCTCCATCCAGAGATATCAACATGTACATATATGTATATGTACACCACACACTTAGAAAGCATTCCAACCCTTAAAAAAAAGACAGCGAATGATATACACTGTTTGGCATCTTGCTTTTCACTTATTAATACATAGGATATCATGCAATATTAATATTTAAAGAGCTTCCAAATTCTTTTTAAAGTTGAAAAATATTATAAATCGTGGTGTATTGATATAGTTCCACATTGATGAACATTTAGGTAGTTTCCAATCTTTTGCTATTATAAACAATGTTGTAATAAATAACCCTATAGGACATCATATTGCATGGAGGCAAACATGTTTATAATATAAATTCTTAAAAATGGAATTGCTAGCTCAAAGGGTGTGTGTATTTGCAAACAGAAAGATATTGCTAAACTGCCCTCCTTAGAGGTTGTACCGACAATTTACACTCCCACCAGTTGCATAAGACAATGATTTTCCACAAATCCCTGCCAACACCCTGAGTCATCAAACTTTTTGATCTCTGCCAACTTGATAAATAAAAACATATCATAGTGTAATCCTGACTCACAATTTTTATAAGTATATACATATGTCCCATATGTCCATTTCTGTGTATGTTCTGTTCATATCATTAGCCCATTTCTCCCCGGGGCTTCTGTTCTTTTACTTTATTTTGTAGCTCTTTCTACACTAGGATAATTAGCATTTTGACTGTGAAATGAACCCAAATATTTTTCCCAGTTATTTTTTGACCTACTGGAGTTTACCAAACAAATTTTTTAAATTTTATGTGATTGAATGTATAAATCTTTTAAAGTTTCTGCATTTAGTATCACAGCTAACAAAGAGGTCTCTACTCCCCGATTTTTTTTTAAAGATTTTATTTTTTTAAGAGAGGGACAGAGAGAGCACAAGTGTCAGAGGGAGAGGGACAAGCAGACTCCCCGCTGAGCAGGGTGCCTGATGCTGGGCTCCATCCCAAGACCCAGAGATCATGACCTGCATTGAAATCAGATACTTAACCGACTGAGCCACCAAGGTGCCCCATCTACTCCCAGATTTTTTTTTAAAGGTTTTTCCATAAGTTCCTCAGGTACTTTAGTGGTTTCTTTCTTTAACATAAAATATTCGATCAGGCTAGACATGTTCCTTGGGTAAGGTGTGGTGTATGGGTCCAGCTACATTTTGTTTAAACCTCCCAGTTGTCCCACAGCCATTTATTGGACAATCCATCTTTTACTTATTTGGAAAGGCAGTTTATTTAAAGCATTTGTGGTTTCAGATACTTAACTCCAAATTATATGATCAAAGCTCCAGTGATGTTTCAAATGTAGACAATACCACTGACCATGAAAGATAAGGATTTGGTTTACATATCCCACCCCTTCTCCACCCCCGCCTAAATTTGATAATCACATCATATTTAGTTCCTTTATTAGTTACTTTTGCTACTGTAAATAACTGGCTTACAGCACTGTTTCTTGTTCCAATAATTCCAGTCAGTACCTAGACTCCTCTCAGTATGTGTAAAGAAGTATAAACATCTCCCTGCTCGGCAGGGAGTCTGCTTCTCCCTCTGACCCTCCTTCCTCTCATGCTCTCTGTCTCTCATTCTCTCTCTCTCAAATAAATAAATAAAATCTTAAAAAAAAAAAAAGAAGTATAAATATTTTTTGTTGTTCCCACTCAGTATTATCCACAGAGCCCAATATAAAAGTAATAATAATAATAATAGTATATGGAGGTAGGATGTAGAGACTCAGATCAATGTTTTACCATTCTATGATTCTTAAAATAAATATCCATCAGTCCATATGTATAAATGAATGACTGAATAGATACATACATAAATACATAAATGGAACAATTCTTTCAGAATTTCAATTAATAAATGTAGAAGAAACAAGGGAAATAGAAAGTCACCATTAGAACAACACAATAATAATTGCTGCAGGCAAAATCTACCGATGAATTATAAAATTGGCAGGTGAAAGTTTAAGGAGGAACAGAACATTTCATAGCTTCAAAGTAGCTCCCCCAAAATATGGGTGGTTTTAACATACAGCCACAAATTCTTTGATGTCCTTCCCTCTAAGAGATGGGTTTAATCTACTCAACCAGTACCCCCACCTTCAAACTAGGCTGTACTTAATGACTCCCTTCCAAAGAATAGAGTATGGAAAGGGGGAAACAGTGATTCTTACAGTAGGGAAAGCTGACAGTTTTCTCCACCTTACCCAAGTGGTCAAGGTTAACATCATGGGTAATTAGTCATGTTGGTATCAGGAACCCCCTGACACAATTCAAGGAGAAGGGCACTTCACCTCTGTGGTATACTTCCATAAAATCCGAATCCCAGCCTAGACATGAAAAAACATCAAACCCAAACTGAGGGGCATTCTACAAAATACATGACCAATACTTTTCAAAAGTGTCAAGGTCAAGAAACACAAGAAAAAGTCAAGAAACTTTCATAGATAGGAGGAGACGAAAGAGGACAACTAAATGCTAGGTGGTAGCCTGGAATGAATCCTGGAACAGAAAAAGGACAATCGCGGAAAAAGTGGTGAAATCTGAATGAAGCCCATCTTCTAGTTAATAGTAATGTACCAATGTTAATTTCTTAGTTTTGATCATTATACCATGGTTATAGAAGGTGTCCACATTAAGGAAAGCTGGATGAGGGGTATGTAGAAACTCTCTACTATCTTTACAACTCTTCTGTAAATCTAAAATCATTCCTAAACATTAAAGTTTTTAAAAATAAGTGATGATTTACTTTTAAAATAGAATATTATTATGGGGCTAAATTTGCTCTTGGATAATTTTAAATTAACATTACTGGAGAAACGTGTAATTTTTCAGTTTGTTATTCCAAAGCAATTAGTTCTATTCGCAAGTGGGTTAAAATAGCATCCTTGTTTCATTTTATATGTTCTACTCTATGTAAATGTTTATAGTCTTTGCGTTCTGATGGCTTAAGGTTGTTTTTCTAATGAATACAAACGAGAAGTGGAATCTCTATTGTTATGTTTTCCAATTCACAAAATTAGTAACATTAAGAATAATTTTAATAAAATTAAATAGAACTTTAAAAAATTATTTCCTTGCAGTAAATGTAATCCCAATGTAAGACAGTATGACATATTCACAAATAGAAACAGGACACACCATTCCCCATTATCCCTCCGATTATCGTGGCAAGGAGGCCTCCTTCCCTCCTGCGCTCACTCTCAGAATATGTGCTGATTGTCAAATACGTTCCAGCTAAGCTCTGAGAAGTACAAAAAATGTATAACTTGGGCACTTCTAACTCTGCCCCCATCTCAGAAAGTTCTAACATGTTTCAGTTACACATTCTCACATTCCATTCTCACAAGGCTGTCCGAGGTAGGGGTTATCATCACGTATGTCCATTTTTAGGAGGGATGACGAAGAAACTGAGGTTCGGAGAGGGCGGTGGCCCGCCAAAGGGGCACAGCTGAGAGAGACGCACAGCAAGCGCCTCAAACCCCCGCGCAGGGCAGGGCGGAGACCGGGGGACGCGCGGGCGGCGGGAGCTGTGGGGAGGAGCGGGGAGGGCAGCCACGCCCTCCCCAGGGGGCCCCGCCCCAACCGCCCTGTGGCCAGACTTGGCCCCGGGCGGTTTTCCTCGCGCGGCTGCGCGGCGGAGGCGGGGGGCGGCCCTCCGGGGCAGGCCGGGAATCGGGGCGGGATCGCCGAGTCCCGGGGCGGGGCAACGCGCGCTGCTGCAGCATGGGACCCCTGCCGCGCACCCTGGAGCTCTTCTACGATGTGCTGTCGCCCTACTCCTGGTTGGGCTTCGAGGTGACTCCGGGAGCTCCCTTGGCCGGGGCTTGGAGGGCAAGGGCAGAGGGAAGGGGGGGGCGGGACGCGGGGACCGTGGTCTCGTGAAATTCCTGGCGCCGCCCGATGGGGTTTAGGAAGCCAGGGGTGAAAGTCACTTTGTGTCTCTAAACGGGATACGGTCGCTGGCCAGGTCGAGCCTTTATATCCTAAGGCAGTGCTTTCCCACAACGGTTTGGAATAAGAGGGGTAACTCCTAAGGATCATGGAGAAATCCACGGCACAGCCACCTCTTAGCCCTCCGATGTTAGTTTTTGGGGGGTGGAGTGCAGAACAGGATGGAGGTTGTCCACTGAGCAAAGATCCTGGGATCGATTTCTTGGGATGGAGCGAGGTTCATGGGATCGATTTCTGGGAGTGGAGAGTTTTGCCATTTAAAACCAAAGTTTAGGGTGTCCGCATAACCCCTACTCTTCTGCACTTAGAGCCTCTGGCTAGTCAGTTGCCAAAGAACACCCCTCCCTCTCCCTCAGCCATTTTCACTCTGTCCATCTTACACTCAGGCTCCCCATCTCCACCTCTGCTCCTGCAGGTCCTGTGCCGGTATAAGAACATCTGGAACATCAACCTGCAGTTGCGCCCCAGCCTCATTGCGGGGATCATGAAAGACAGTGGTGGGAACGCAGCAGCGTTTGGGACAGGGATTTGAGGGAGGGTGGCTTTCAAAGGTCCACGGGGGGCTGCCCTCAAATGGGTCTTTACATCGGCACCAGCAGCTAGTGATTGGACTCTGCTGAAAACCCGGATGGGGTTCCCCCCGCAAGCCTCAGACCCTTAGGCAGTCTCTCACCAGTGTGCCCAAATTTCCACTTGCAGGAAACCAGCCACCAGCTCTGCTTCCCCGCAAAGCCCAATATCTGAGAAATGATGTTAGGCTCCTGGGACAGCATGTCCAGATTCCTGTGCAGTTCCCCAAGGATTTCTTCTCTGTGATCCTTGAAAAAGGTAAAGAGTGAGATATAGATGGTGTATCCAGTGGAAGGCAGCAGAGTTGCAAATTGTAGTGCCAGGAAGTAGGGGCTGGCAACTACATGAAATGAAACAAAGCTTGGGGAAACACAGGTGAGCGTTAAGTGAGCAGAAGCTTGCGGGGACCTAAGGGGAAGAAGAGCAGTACAAACAGGCTATGAGAAATCTGGGTGGAAGGCTAAGGGCAGTCAAGCTCTGTGGATGTCAGAAGCAGGAAAGAGCCAGTCCTCCGTGGGAAACAAGCTAGAAGAGCCCTGTCTCTGAGTATCTCTGCCCCACAGGAAGTTTATCAGCCATGAGATTCCTCACCGCTGTGAGCATGGAGCACCCAGAGATGCTGGAGAAAGTGTCCAGGGAACTATGGATGCGTGTCTGGTCACGGGTGAGGGCAGAGCTCTGGGAACCTACTTGGGAGACCCTGGACAATATGCTGACCCTCCCCTAGAACCTGGTTTCCAGAGGCCTGGTCCTGCCTTCCCCTGTTGTTCACGGGCCTACTGTCCCCCCATCTCACCCCTCACCGCCCCCTTCCTGCGGAATGTTCTCTTCTTCTCAGGATGAAGACATCTCGGAGCCCCAGAGCATCCTGGCCGTGAGTATCCTGGCTCTGTCCCCACCCCTCTCATAGCGAAGCTGACAACAGCTGGCATTTAGGGGCAAAGAGGACACAGTTTTCATTTTGGGTGGAAAAGGTCATAGTTATTTGGGGAGAAAGGATATCTGTGTTTGAGGAGCTGAATTAATGAAAGTTTGGAACTCATAGGACTCCCAAAAGAATATCTCATGGTTGAAAGGGGAAGTGCAAAATTCTACATGGGTAGGTTTTATTTCATGAAAGAAGTCAGTGGGAGAGAGATGTTACATGTTGGCACTCCCAGATGGGGAGGGATGAAGTATTGGCCCCAAACACTCCAATACCAGACCTCACCGATATATCCAGAGAAGAAAGCAGGAGACTTTACAGACAGACTTTAAAAAGAAAAATCCCACAGAAGCCTGAGTGGAAACACATGGAAATAGCTCAAAACATTGAAATGTGTGGCAGCCATACACGGGGGTATAAAAAGTAAGTTTTTCTTTGGGATTAAATCAGGAAATTCAAAATGATATTTTCCCTTCAGTTTACAAAAGATAGTTGAGGTATATTCAAACTTAATACATAAAACGGCAAATCACAAAGAATTCCTGCAAAGTATATGCACAGGCTTGTCTTTCCACTTACTAACAATCATTTTCCATACCATTATAAACTCTTTGAAAGTATCATTCTTAGTTTCTACACAGCATTCCATTCAGTGGGCCTACTTTTGTTTACTTAACTGTTCCCCTGTTGTTGAACATTTGGTCTGGACACAATTCTCTCATGCAGCCAAGTCAAAGACCCTGTCACACATCAGAATGCACCTCGTAACTTCCTGTTTCCCCCTCCAGGTTGAGGAGGTCGGGTTGCAGTGGTTCTCAACCTTGGCTGTGTATTTTAGTCACCTGGACCACCTGGGCACTGCCTACCAAAAATTCTGATGTAATTGTTCTAGCGGATGACCTATGAGTGGGATTTTTTAAAAGCTCCCTCGGGAGATTCTAGTATGCAGCCAAATTGAGAACCACTAATCCTAAATGATATCAACAAACCCCAAATTGAAATGTTTATTCTTGTTAAGCCCTGCAGGTGGCTATATCCCTGTGCCCTGCTCTAAAGTCCTCAGGAAATGCCATGAGAATTATAGCCCAGCCCTTGCTTCAAAAGAGCACAAGATATTCAGGAATTCTGAGAAGTAGAAAGGCAAGAGCCCAGACTTAATGTCAGGGGACTTGGATTCTAGCGTTGGCTCTGCTACTAACAAGTTCTTTAATGCCAACCAGGTCATGTACTGCTTCTGGACAGTAGTCCCCTCACTGGTTAATAAAGAGGTTGGGGAGCTGGTTTCTAAGATGCCCTCTGGCTTTCAATTTCTGCACCTTGTTCTTTCCACCAATCACAAGATTTTAAAGGGGGAAAAAAGAAAAACGGCCCCTCATAGCAAAGATAGACCTCTATTTGTGGGTGGGTAAAGGCCTTACCAGGAAAATGGGAGCAGAAAATGAATACCAGAGTTTCTCCTGAGATCCCTACCCCACTAATACACAGTTGTGTTCCCTACCACATCCCCTCAGGCTGCAGAGAAAGCTGGCATGTCTACAGAACAAGCCCGGGGACTCCTGGAAAAGATCTCAACACCAAACGTGAAGAACAAGCTCAAGGAGACCACCGAGGCAGCCTGCAAATATGGGGTGAGCAACTCTTGATGTGGGTCCCCAACCCCAGTGCTGAAGAATGAGGCTGAGCATCTGCTGGGTCCCCATGCTCCTGTTCTAAAAGTTGCTCCCAACATGAGTCCTCCCAGCTGTCCCAGACAACCTTCATCCTCTCCCTTCCTGCCCCAGAGTCCAAGGAAAGGAAGGGAGGGAGGTAGATGGTGAGAGGAAAGTCAGAGCATCTGAGAATCAGAAACAGAAAACTCCTTAGAGCTGTGGAACCTCTTAGCTGCTTTGCTTGTATGACCTCAGACAAGTATTGACTCTTAGCCTTCCATCCCAGCCATAATGAACACCTGCTCCATCACCTTACTCCCTGCGCTGTAACTGCTTTCTCCAGGCTTTTGGGCTGCCGATCACCGTGGCCCATCTGGATGGCCAAACCCACATGCTGTTTGGCTCTGATCGGATGGAGTTGCTGGCACACCTGCTGGGTAAGTTCAGGTTCATGGTGAGCTGCCCTTGACCCCAGCCCCACCCCCATTTATCAGTTGACCAGGAGGACAGATCCAGAGCAAAAAAATATATATATATATTCTATGCATTTCCAACAAGGAAGCCTCATACACAGAAGTTCTCAGGGCTGAATGGGGAGAGGCCACCTTCACCCCCATAGAAGAAAAGGAAGCCAAGCAGAGCTCTTCCTAGAAAACCCCTGGGGGTTTGTGGGGCCAGCCTCTGACTTTGATTTTCTCCATCTAGGAGAGAAGTGGATGGGCCCTGTGCCTCCAGCCATAAATGCCAGACTTTAAGGCTTCCCAAGGGGAAGCAAAACTATTGGGATGAAAAAGCAGACCTTCTGCTTCCCCTTCTTCCACTGTGTGACCCTAGGACTCTGATTTCTCTGTCTGATAGAGGTTCCTCTGTGGCCCTGGGGGATGCTGTGGAGGGGGTGGCGTGATACCCCAAACTCTCCTTTCCCTCAGAATAAACTTAATGCCATCAGGCATAATATTTCTGGGTCTTTGTCCTCCCTGGTGTTATGTGTTCTTCCTGCAGTCACCCCCTGTCCACTCTAGGTGTTTGCGAACAGCTCTTTCCATACTGCGAGCCCCTCTGCCCACCTCAGGGCAACTTATGTGGAAGGAGAGGAAACAGTCCTCTTCAGGGATGGAAAACTAAGCCAGATGGATTTTGCAACTAACCAGTTTGGCAGTTACTATCTTCTGACCAGCCAGGGTGCCTGAAATGGGGCTGGGATCAGAGAGAGCCAGAACTTGGCTGAGCTTCTGCCCAGATATTTGAATCAGCTCCAGCTACACTGACTAGCAGAACCAGGGCAAGGTGGCAGCACAGGGCGACAGGCTGGAGTTGCCATGGCCTGGAAGTTGCTCACCGACAAAGCAGATCCTAAGAAAATCCTGGGGCCTCTCTCCCTGGCCTAGTATGGGCCCTGTTCCTTCCCACACAGACCTACAGCTTTACCACTCCCTCAGCTATTTATCCAAAGGCCCTGCTCCGTATGTGCCACCTGTACAACAATCCAAAGACCTTGTGTTTCAGTAGTCTTTGGACTTCTTTGAGAATACTCTTTATTCAGAAGCTGAAGCCACACTGGACATCTGTTGGGAAGCAGGTATGTGTCCTTCGATGGCTCAATGGCCCCAGAGGCATTAAGAGGGGATTCCTTGCCCCCGCCCTCTGGCTCTTTCTGGTCTCAGAGCTCATTTTCCCGTCTTATCCCCCATCACTGGCTGTTTTCCTCTTCTCCCTTCTTCCGTTATTCCAGCATACTCCAGGATTTCCAGTCATCCTTACTAGGCTTATCTGCTAACTAACACCATAAGTGCATCTCCAAATACACACTCGCACTCCCTCTTTCAAAGATTTCATGACATGTACAGCTAATATAAATTTAAAATATGGGAAAATGTCCAATAGTAAGAAACATAAGAGCAAATTAAAATGTTACTTCTCATATATTCAAGTTATATATTCAAGCATATAGAAGTTCTCATATATGCTGAGAGCATGGTGGTGGAGATAAAGCTTTATGAATAAACATGCTTGTCCCAGTATGATTTGTGATATCAAGTAACTTATAAATATCTAACAATAGGAGGATGTTTGAATAAGTTAGGGTACATCCAGAATGTAATGTTTCATAGCCATCAAAAATTATATATGTTTTTTTAAAGATTTATTTATTTGTGAGAGAGAGCGTGCACGAGCACAAGTGGGAAGGGCAGAGGGAGAGGCAAAGAAAGAATCCCAAGCAGACTCCTCACAGAGTGGGGAGCCCACCATGGGGCTCGATCTCATGACCCTGAGATCATGACCCAAACCGAAAACCAAGGGTCAGACACTCAACCGACTGCACCACCCAGAATTCTGTTTGTAAAGAATTTCAACACTGGGAATTTGTAGAATATAATATTAGTTGGAAAAAAGATGAAACTATATAGTATGATCTCAATTATGTCTTGATGTATAAAAACACATTACAGAGGACATTGATATATTAATCCTGGAATAAAATATGCCTAAATGTTTCCATTTCACTTGTATACTTTTTGAAATGATCATTCTGACAAACAGAAAATAGATAATATTTAAATTTAAAAAAAAAGAATTTGTAGATTCACATTTGGGCACAACTATGCATCCTTCCCATTGTTTTAAAACATTAATCAGTTACTTAACTTAATGCTAAATCTTACCTCAGGCTAATGTGGTATAATCTTTTATTGTAGATGCATATTTCCCAGCTCTGCCCAGTCTTCCTTCAAAGAATCTAGCATCCTGTTTTCCTAATCTGCTAGCAAATTTAATCTCTGGAGGAATGAGACAATTTCTAGACTAAACCTTACAAACATGATCTAGATTATAGTGTCTGAACTTCTGCCAAGTAGAATCCAATAGTCAGGATTCTCCAAAGAAACAAATAATAGGATATGTATAGGTATATATGAAAAGAGATCCATTATCAGGGATTGGCTCACATGGTTATGGAGGCTGAGAAGTCCCACAATCTGCAGGCCCGGGAAAGTGCGCTGGTGGTGTAGTTCCAATCCAAAATCCAAAGGCCTGAGAACCAGGAGCACCTGTGTCTGAGGGCAATAGAACATGGATGTCTCAGTTCAAGCAGAGAAAGCAAGTTTGCCCTTCCTTTGCTTTTTTGTTCCATTCAGGCCCTCAATAGATTGGTTGCTACCTCCCGCACACACACACTAGTGAGGGCCACCTCCTACTCAGTCTCCGTATTCAAATTATAATCTCTTCTGGGAACACCCTCATAGACACACCCAGAAGTGTTTTGTCAGCTCTCTGGGTGTCCTTTAGCTCAGTCAAGTTGACACATGAAATTAATATGTCTCAATTAACAATGAGAAAGGGGGAAGCCCCCAAATGCAGCTGTATTTTTAAAATGAACACTCTTTTTTTCTAAAGTAAGAGTTTCATACTTACTAGTTTCTTCCTCCCTTCCCCTTCCACTCAACAGTTGGAGTGCAATATAAAATTTGCAGTTATGTCAATACTCAGAATTCAACACTGACCCACTTTCTTGCATTGCAATTCAAATTCTAAGCTTACCAGATAAGATGCTTCTAAAACAAACTTCTTAGGTAAAATTTCTAGAATTATATTTTTTTACAGACCCAAAACACAAGCGTTAATTAACAACAAAAAGTATCACACGCACGTGGTAAAACAAAAGGGAAAAGAACAGCAAGTTATCAAGTGAAAAGTGAAGAGTCTCCCCTTTGTCATTCCCATTCCTACTCTGGGGTTTTTTTGTGTGCAACCAGAAATGTCCATATGTTTTAACACACGAATGTCAGACATGATTCAGAGGGATTCAGTCTACCCTTCATCCAGTTTCCCCAATGGTAACATCCTGTTCAGCTACAGCCCAATGGCACAACCAGGAAATTGACATTGATGCACTCCATCAAGCCCTATTCAAATTACACCACTTCTTCATGCACTCATTTGTGTGTCCAGTTTTAGTTCTGTATAATTTTACTATGTGTGTGACCACCATCACAGTCAAGATACAAAATATTCCTAGCATAAGAGATCCTTATGTTCCTATTTCACAGCTTGGCCACCTTCTGTTCTCCCCACTTCCCTAAACCCTGGCAATGACTAATCAGTTCTTCATATAGTTTTCTCATTTCAAGAGTGCTATATTAATGGCATCAGATTGGCTTATTTGACTCAGCAAATTCCCTTGAGATCCTTGCAAGGTACTGTGTGTCTCAGTGGTTTGTCCTTTTTATTGCTGAGTAGTAGTCCATGGTATGGATGTGCCAGAGTTTAACCTGTTGAAGGACATTTAGGTTGTTTCCAGTTTGGGGCTATTACAAATAAACCTGCTATGAATATTCTTGTACAGGTTTTTGTGTGCACACAGATTTTCATTTTGGGGGGTAAATGTCCAGGAATACAATTGCTGGGTCATATAGTAAGTGCATGTTTAGTTGTACAAGGAACTGCTACATTTTTCCTAAGTGGCCAAACCATCTTAACCTTCCCACCAGAAATGCATGAGTGATCCAGTTTCTCTGCATCCTCACCAGCATTTGGTGTTATTACTCTTTTTTAATTTTAGCCATTCTGATAGGTGTGTAAGTGCTCTCTCATTGTGATTTTAATTTGCATTTTCCTAAGGACTAATGAACATCTTTTTGTGCCCTTCTTTGCCATCTGTACATCCTCTTCAGTGAAATATCTGTTCACACCTTTTGTCCATTTCCTAACTGGGTTGTTTTTGAAATGTCCATATTGTCCTTAATAGTTTGTTTATAAGTAGGCTCCACACCCAGTGTGGAGCCCAACGCGGAGCTCAAATTCACGACCCTGAAATCAAGACTTGAGCCATGATCAAGAGTCAGATGCTTAACCAACTGAGCCACCTAGGCACCCCTTTTTAATTTTTTTAAAGGCTCCATGCCCAGTGTGGGGCCCAAATCCAACGACCCTGAGATCAAGAAACATATGCTCTCCTGACTGAGTCAGCCAGGCACCCCTTTAACAGCATATTTTAAAAGAATGTACAAACTGTAAGAACACATTTTGAGACAACGGGGGGAAAATAACATGGACTGGATATTAGGTGATACTAAGGATTTAATATTAATTTCATTAAGCATGATAATGGCAGGGTGGCTGGGCACAGATAAGTTCTCGTCAGTCAGAACTGCATTCTGAAACACTTAGGATAGAAGTGACATGCTGCCTTTAAAAAGTAGGGGAGATGGAAAGAGTAGATGAAACGTAATTGTTGAAGCTGAGTGATGGGTACACAGAGAGTTCATTATACTATCCTTTCCTCTTTCTTTTATGTGTGTTGGGATATCTCCATAATAAAATTGTCTTGAAAATGTACTGAGGGTGCACCTGGCTGGCTCAGTCAGTACAGCATACAACTCTTGATCTCAGGGTCCTGAGTGTGAGCCCCGTGCTGGGCATAGAGTTTACTTTAAAAAAA